AAGCAAGATTATGGCAACCAGACTGATTGATAACTGGCAAATAAAGGGAGAAAACATGGAGGCAGTGACAGACTTTGTATTTCTAGGTGCAAAGATTACTGCAGACACAGACTGCAGTCAGAAATTCAGAAGACGCTTACTTCTTGGGAGGAGAGCAATGACCAATCTCAAAAAAATAGTGAAGAGTAGAGACATCACACTGACAATGAAGATCCGCATAGTAAAAGCAATGGTATTCCCTGTAGTAACCTACGGATGTGAGAGCTGGACCTTAGGGAAGGCTGAGCAAAGGAAGATAGATGCCTTTGAACTGTGGTGTTGGAGGAAAGTTCTGAGACCGCGAGAAGATCCAACCAGTACATAATTAAAGAAATAAAGCCTGACTGCTCATTGGAGGGAAGAATATTAGAGGCAAATATGAAGTAATCATCTCTCAACAAAAGATTGCTCCAGGCACTAACAAGCCACACCAAACAACTGCCAGGCCATCAAATGGTAATCAAGGTGGTCAGTTGAAACGTTCACACCTAGCTCCAACAGGCAAGAGTTCTTTGCCCCACCCTGGTCATGACACAGATATATAAACCCATTTTCCTAGTTCCAACAGACCTCACTACCTCTGAGGATGCTTGCCATAGATGCAGCCGAAACGTCAGGAGAGAATGCCTCTAGAACATGGCCATATAGCCCGAAAAAACCCTCAACAACCCAAAGATGAAGTACTTTGGCCACATAATGAGAAGACAGGAAAGAAGGCAATGATGCTGGGGAAAATGGAAGGAGAAAGGAAGAGGGGCCAACCAAGGGCAAGATGGATGGATGGTATCCTTGAAGTGACTGGCTTGAACTTGAAGGAGCTGGGGGTGGTGACGGCCAACAGGGAGCTCTGGCGTGGGCTGGTCCCTGAGGTCATGAAAAGTCGAAAGCAACTGAACAAATGAACAACAACAATGGCAGATGTCTGCAGTGCACAACTCAGACTTTCCTGTTACTTGCTTTAATGTGTTGTATATCTTTTAATCCACATTGCAGGTCACATTGGTGGTGTGTGTTTTGTGTCCACCACTGTTTCAGCTTGTCTTGAAGCTGTGTTAAATGGTCAGTGTAATGAGGCCATAATCACTACTAAGCAATGACAAATTTCTCTTTATTCATGTGTTGAGTGGGCACTTGGCATGAAATTATTATTTGTATTATATTTTTGTACATCGTATTGGCATGCTAGTGATAATGGACTATTATTTACTATGAAGCTAAGGGACTGGATTACATTTCTAGTCTATGGAAAAGATTACAAAGAGCATTCTCTATTAAATGGATACATTTTGCACAGAGATGAAACAGTCCATTGCCGTAAAATATGTGGCATTATTGTATCTGTTGTTGCAGATGCAGAATATTAATTTATTTTCAGTTGTAGCCACCAGGAATTTAAAAGTGCAGTGGTATCTTTGAATGTGAAATACAAAATGGTACTATGGCTTGACATGAGTATAAAACATGAAACTGCATGATTGCATTAATGTTAAGAGTGTTTCATGTGCACACTGCATTTTGACATTGAGTCCTTTTTAAAAACTTTGTTTTAAATGAAAAGGGGAACAGGAATGTAAAGGTCCCTTACCTTTTGCAACCAGGATTGCAGGGCCTAGAGTAAGTCTGCCAGCTAGTTTGCAGCTTAGGTGGGCCTGGCGAGGCAGCAGTAGCCATTTTAGATCAGGGAAGGCACCATCTTAGAGAGAGGTTAGAAAGGGGGAGTGTCTTAGGCCTGAGTCAGCAGAGATCGACCAGGATTGGTTTAGAAAAGGGGGTGGAGTTTAGAGAGGCTTGGAGGGAAAAAGAGCCTTTTAAGTCAGAAAGGGGGAGTTGAAGATTAGGTTTTGAAGAGAAAGGATGTTTTAGAAGTTTGTGGTTTAAAGGTTAGGATAGGGCAAAGTTTGCCAGTGGTTTGCCAGCAAGTCAGCTGAAGCAAACTGACAGCTATTAGGGATATAGCTGGGTTGTAGCTAGATAGGACTGGGTTAGTGTATCTGAGCTACAGAAGAAATCCTGACAGAGATTTAGTTCCTGTTAAGTTTTCTTGTTGGTGAAGAGAAGAAACTCTTTTTATTGTAACAAAGACAGAACTATCATTGTAACCGCTACAAATTCAAGACAAAAGCAAAAATTCTCTGTAACAGCCAAGATATTGAACTGCACTTACTTTTCCTGTTTCAAATCAATAAACTTTCATTGATTATTTAAATTTAAAAGCTTGACTCAAGTGTGCCTTTGTGGCTAAAGTTTCTTAAACAACCTCAACTGTTTTAAAAGAAGAAGTAATAGGACACAGTGCCTGGTGGTCTCAAAAGATTTTTAATATTTGGACAGCTAGAGAGTTCCCTTACATTACAGTTTGGTGGCAGCGGAAGAAACTAAAATATACCCCTCAGACATCATAATTAGATCCAGTGATGTGCGATTGATTATAGTATATCCCATCTTTATAATTGACCAGACAGTGGTGGGAAAGTTTGACCACCCTGTCCAAGCTGTGTGTAGATGCTTGTTACGTCAGTGATCGGTCCTTTATTATTGGTGACACAGCGGAGTGGGATCTGATATCGATTGATCCTCTCACTGAATGACCCTACTCCCTGTCACTCATGCTCATCTGAAAATTGGAGTATATATTGAGAGTAGCAGTGGATGTTCATGCACCTCAGGTTTTAAGGGAAACGCCCAAGGACTTTACAATGGCTGAGGTTGTGATTATAATGAACTCACTGTCTTCTAAATTTTTCATCCTTCTTCTAATGCCTTGCACTTGAATCTTCATCAGTGCCATCCTGTATGGCCAAAGGTCAGGGACATCTGGTATTGTAGTCCAAAACATCTGGATGAATTATCTTTGTGGAAGGCTGAGTTAGATTTGTCTTCGAATACCATATATTCCGGCATATAAGATGACTGGGTGTATAAGACAACCCCCAACTTTTCCAGGTTTTTTTTTTGTCATGTCAGGAGCGACTTGAGAGAGACTTTTCCAGTTAAAATATAGAGTTTGGGATATACTTGCCATATAAGACTACCCCTCTTCCAACACACACTAAATAAAATTTTTAAAAGCATCAGAATTAAGCATCAGCCGCCAGAATTAATCCAGTCTCTGCCTGATTTCGATGGGGAAGCTCTGGTTCCGTGTGCCACTGTTAAAAGCCTTGAAGTTGTGTTGGACTCATCGCTGACGATGGAGGCCCAGATCACTGCCATAATTAAGCAGGCCTTTTTTCATCTTCGCCAGGCAAGGAAATTGGCATCCTACCTTTCAGGTAGAAGCATTGGCAACAGTAATCCACGCAACAGTCACCACAAGGTTGGACTATTGCAACGCCTTATATGCCGGCCTTCCGAAGTCAACAACCCAGAAGATTCGGATGGTCCAAAATGCAGCGGCCAGGCTGCTAGCGGGATCATCTATAAGATCCCATATTACACCGATTCTGCAACAACTGCATTGGCTACCAATAGAACATCGGATCTCTTACAAGATACTGATCCTGACATTTAGAGCTCAAAATGGCCAAGGACCTTTATATCTTAGGGACCGCCTCATTCCTTTTCTCCATCAGTGGTCACCTCGATCCACCCAGGAAAATCTCCTATACATACTGGGCCCTAGGGAGGTACACCTGGAAGCTACAAGGTGTAGAGCTTTTTTGACATGCTCCAATTCTGTGGAACTCATTGCCTCCATACATTAGAGCAATGTCGGAGTTGCGACCTTTTGTAAAGCACTCAAGACTTGGCTGTTTGGTTGTGCATTTAAGTAATCAGATCTAATTTGCCAAATAGTCACTGTTGAATGTTTTTATGTTGAATGTTTTTATATTGTGTAAATGCTATTTTAGATTGTAAGTCGCTCGGAGCACCTTGGTGGAGAGCAACTAATTAAGAAATAAAGTGAAAAATCATCAGATTTGATTTCAATATGGTAATTTTCCTATTACTGTACCTCCTTCTCTGCCTCTCAGATCTCGCACATGCGCACTGCACCACTTCACTACAGTCTTCAGGAGCGAGATCTGAGAGGCAGAGGAGGAGGTATGGTAATAGGATACAAGGGCGGGCCAGACAGGTAAAAGAGGTGTGTTTTTCTGGGCCCAGAGCCACTCTATCTCTTTTTTCCATACCCCGGGTGCCCCGGATGCCTGCAGCTTGCTCTGCCCTTCACTTACACCTTCTCGGTGCCCCTTCACCTCACCATCGGGACCGGATTAAGTCCACAAATCCTGATGAATGGATTTTCTTCTACCATACCTGTACAGCGTCGTCCTTAATGCTTTCATACAGTCACTGCATATGGCAGAGACGCAACCACTGCCATTTTTGAGCTCCCCCCACAATATGCAGCAACCACAGATTCTTCAATCCGGATTGGAAGTTTCAGCACCCGCTCTATAAGACGACTCCTGATGTATAAGACTACTCCCGCATATGAGACAACCCCCATGCATAAGGCTACTCCACCGTATAAGATGACTCCCGCGTATAAGATGACCCCTGACTTTTGAGAAGATTTTTTTTGGTTAAAAAGTAGTCTTATACGCCAGAATATACAGTAATTTATTTTAAGTGATTTTGTATAGAATGATGAATGGCATTTAATAGGGTATTCTGAATGGGAATACTCGCCTGCCTTTTTTGTCTTTAGCATTCTTTGTATCAATTCATTTATATATATTAATTTCCCTTCTCAAGAGGCATTTGATGTGTCCTATCACATCTAATAAAATAATTTGGATAAGGTTTTTGAATGCAAACTTACTAATACACAATCTTACTTTGGTTTTTGCTGTTCTTGAAAAATGAAGCTTAAAGAAATTCTGAACCAAAAGATAAGACTGGAAGAGGATAGTTATGTACTTAAATGCAAATAGATGTAAACACTTACCTACAAGAGGATCGCATATGCTCACTAGCTTTGTGTTTCCTATCCTTTAAATTTTTTCCCCTCTTAGAATGTGGTCACCTTGGAACCTCTTACTGTGAATGAAGAAAAAATAAGGCCATCACTGGAAAAGCGCTTAGAAGGAATTATCAGTGGTGCTGCTTTGTTAGCAGATTCTTCATGCACACGTGATATTCACCGTGAGCGTATCATCACAGAGTGCAATGCTATTCGCCAGGCTCTCCAAGATCTCCTTTCTGAATACATGAATAATGTAAGTCATTTGTTTCCTCCCTTGTTTTTATTGGCATGCTTTCCATTGATTTGTTTCTGTAAAAAACAGTTGCACAATTCTTCGTGATTTATGTTCTGTACTTTGATAATATAGTTAAGTCAAACTTTGAAAACAAAAATATTCTTTCTTAAAATGTTTGTTGTGTTGCAAATATATATAAACAAACAAATTTTCTGTCTAAAATGCACTGAGAGATCCCATATTTTCCATCCCTTCACCCAGCTTACCAAATAAATTCCTTGTGGTACAATCTTGCACAAGCTGGGGAAGAAGAGTGACATATAAAGACCTTTTGGTTGTTGTGTACTGATTGATGCTATTGTCTTGGACTTTTTTTAAGGGTGTAGGAGCTGTATGCTGGCAGGCAGGTTGTTATTAATTTTGCCTACTTGAAGTTACTTATGGAGGGAGCTTGCTTTTCCCATTCATTATCATAGAAACATCCCTAAATGTTTCCACAGTGTATACTTAGATGTTCCCTTTATGTGTTTAATGGGGCTTATGCCAAATAAGTGCACCTAGAATAGATTGCAGCTATATTTTATTATTACTGGAAAGGCTCAATGATTATCTGTTGCCTTGACATTTCTTAGACTTAGGATCTCATCACATTAAAGAAATGCCCTGCCCTATCATGCTTCATCAACACAGTTAGCATGGAGCCTGCTGGATCTCATCACATAACACGCATCTATTTTTGGCGGGGCTCCATGTCTGCTGCGATGGTGTATGATGGGTAAGTGGGGCACTGGGTGACAGATTTTCTCCACTGCCCCACTGTGCTACGGGTCCCCCACTGTCCCCCTCATCAAGGACATCAATGTGATGAGGTCTTTAGTTCTTTATTATTCAGTATATTTATGATTGATTATATCCAAGGAGGTTCAACTACATAGGCGTTGTGGTAGTCCAGTTGTTTCAGGGAGGGGGCTCAGCCCCACACTGTTGTTCTGGGTTCAGAATAATGGTAAAAATTACATTCATAACCCTAATTCTTTTCAATTTTGACTCTGCTGTCAAAGGATAAACTCACACTTGGCAAGAAGAAGCTTCTCCATCCCATTCAAATGTTTTACATTGTGAAACATCATAAACATGAGTAGTCTTTCTTAGATATGCATTCTGGTATAGAAGGGCCTGTTAGGCTTCATCCTCGAGATACAGAACAATGAGGGAGTTGCTGAACACATGTAGGAGGAGGCAAAACCTGCTACTATCATCCTGTCCCTCCCATGCCTTTATTTTCCGTGTGCATTTATATCTGAAAGACCCAAGGGAAAAGAGGGAAAACTTTTTGCTTTTGTGTATTGCTGGACTACAAATTCCATTATGCCTGGAAATTGTCTGCTCTGAGTACAACTGATGAGGGTTGCAGTTTTACAAGAAAATTCCACATTTCTGGTTTAGAGTCCTTTGAAATACTGTTGACAATATCTCAGCAGGAGGAGATATAGTAAGGGATTTTATTTTAACCTACCAGTGTTCTCAATTTTTGAAAAAAAATCCTGATTCTTTCTCTTTTAAATGTTTTCCTGTAATGCGTGATTACTTTAAAAAGTAACTATATGCCTAGGTGAAACTCAAAGTACAAATAATATTTATCGGGTTTTCTGAATTGTTTGAAATCATGTAGCCTCAATTGAAGGTGAGGAACCTCTATCTCCTACAGTTTTGGACTTCATTGCACAGAAGTCATGGTCAGAGGATCTGTGGGAGGTACATTTCAAAATATCTGGAGGCCCAAAATGCAGAATTTGTGCCGTCGCGCCTGGGGCTATAACTCTTGATGAGAGAGGCATGGACGTGGCATCTTTCCCCAGGGGATTGCTTCTTGCCCTCCTTAGGAAACAGGAACTCCCAAAGATCAAAACACAAGAGATAACTCGAAATGGTATTGATTGTTCACCATGAGTTATCTTTCTCAGGCATAAGCTTGATGTTTCAACAGGGATAAAAGAAATATACTTTACAATCTCTGAAGTCCCAGGAGTTTGTAGCTGAGAAGCTTTTCTAAGTTTCCTCTTTCCTCAATGGCTGTGAATGCCGGAGCAAACCACAACCCCAGTTCAGATGACCTATGTTTGAAGACTCAGGATCTTCCTTTGGTGCCAAAAGAACTGTTTTGAAGGCACTTGAGACTTCCAACGTCGTTCAGGTTGGTCTGAACATGAAGCACAAGTCTCAAGGGTAAAAAAAACCTCAGAACTGGTGCTGAGAGGTAATTTAAATCAGGGTCTTTTAGAGTCAAGTCTCTTACTCACGTCCATCTGGTAGAAACTCTGATGGCAGAATGAAAAGAAAGGAAGCACTCCCCTCCTGCAGGAAGAGGTGGAGCCAAACAGTACTGATTGACAGCTATAAGTAACCAATCCATACAACTATACATAAGCAGGGTAAAAAGGCAGGATTAAGCATGATACAACTGTTTAAATCTTGCAACTAACAGTTCTACACATAGGTGGCACCACTCGCGCCGTCACAGAATTGATTTTTTTATAGTGAACAACTGGAGAGTTAATGGCAATGAAAAAGACTAAAAGCAAATTTCAATAGATATAATCATTCAGAGCAGCGTTTTATCTGGAAACATAAACTAATATGAGGTAATATGTTAGTTTTATCTAAAAGTCAGTATAAAAATGAAATTTTTGGAGAACCATTTTTTTCGATGTAGAGATGTGAAATTATGAGTACATTAATGTATCTGTATTCTCAGTGATTTTTGGAAATGTAATCCCTCGTGAGGTTTCTTCTTGAAAGTATCATGAAGCAATTTTCTTCCTGATGTGAGAAATATTTTTTTGCAAAGAGTATTCCCAATTTGGAACTTATTTTGTGGGGAAAATGTACGTGGTTATTTTATATAGAAAATAGCATTTTCTGTGTGGAAAAATAATATTTCTGCACACAGCTATCAATTCACCTACAAAAATGTAATTTTGTGTGCATAAAATGTTATTTTCCAGGTAAATAAATCGTTTGATTTGCAGAAAAAACCCAATTATCCTTTTTCTGTGCACAAAACTGAATTTTCTGTGCAAGAATGGCAATTTCTGCAATTTTGGGCTTCATCAAAAAGAGTATAGTGCCTAGATTGAGGGAAATCATGCTGTTTTAGTATTCTGCTTTGGTTAGACCTCACCTGGAATACTGTGTCCAATTCTGGGCACCACAGTTCAAAAAAGATATTGACAAGTTGGAAGGTGTGCAGAAGAGGGTGACCAAAATGGTCAAAGGTTTGGAGACGTGCTCTATGAAGAGTGTCTGAAAGAACTGGGTGTATTTAGCCTGCAGAAGAGAAGGCTGTGAGGAGACATGATAGCCATGTATAAATATGTGAAAGGGTGTCCTAAGGAAGAGGGAGCAGACTTGTTTTCTGCTGCCCTTAAAACTAGGACTAGGAACAATGGGTTCAAATTATAGGAAAGGAGATTCCACCTGAACATTGGGAAGAACCTCCTGACCTTATGAACTGTTCAACAGTGGAACTCTCTGCTTCCTTGGAAACTTTTTAAAAGACGCTGGATGGCCATCTGTCAGGGATACTTTGGGTTTTTCCTGCATGGCAGCGGGTTGGACTAGATGGCCCATGTGGTCTCATCCAACTCTATTATTCTATGATTCTTCACACAGAAAATGCTGTTTCCTGTCCAGAACAACCACCCGTGAATTTGGCAGTGAATAAGCCCTGAAGTGCAATCTTCTCTTAACCAATCTTCTCTTCTTTTTGACACTAAAAAGACATGTTTTTCAACCAATATGTTTAAATATTTTACCATTCTTCCTACAGAGCTTACAATAATCCTTTGCTGATTTTAATATTATTTAGCTTTTCTGTAGAAACTAATTTCCATTTTTTTTTAAAAAAAATCAACAAGAACACTTGAAAAATATGGTTTCCCCCCAAGATGCCTGTGTTTTCTTAGTAAATTGATGCTCATTCATCTCCCCTGAACTTTGAACAAAGTTTGTTCTGATGCTTCAGTAACATAGCATTTGTTGCTATGGTGAATGAATATAGATTTAAAATACCTTCATACATTCCATCTCTATTTTAAAGTATGACTTGTGGTGTTATGTGATTTATGTATATAAATATACACTATGGACCAATCTGCATTCTCTTCTCCCATATCTAAAATTGTATCTCATAGGTCATATTTATTAATACTTATCTATTTATATAAAGGTCAGAGTATTTCTGCCTGCTTTATTGTTTCCACAAAGGCTGTTGCTAGGTGAAGTGACCCTCTGTGATGTCACATTGGGAAAGACATGTGGTGTATATGAGAGAAAGGAAAGAAAGAAGGAAAGAAAGAAAGAAAGAAAGAAAGAAAGAAAGAAAGGAGAAGAAGAAGRAAGAAGGGAAAGGAAGAAAAGGGAGGGAGGTAGAAATGAAGGAAGAGAACTGAAAGGAGAAAAGGTATAATGGAAAGAAAGAAAGGGGGACAAGAAAGGAAGGGGAGAAAGAAGGGAGGGAAGAAGGGAGAGAAGAGAAAAAGAAGGGGAGAAGGGGGAGGTATATGAGGAAAAGTAAAAGAAGAAAGAAAGAAAGAAAGAAAGAAAGAAAGAAAGAAAGAAAGAAAGAAAGGAGAGAGGAAGAAGACATATGAGGAAAATAGAGGAAGGAAAGAAAAAGCCACAAAGAGATCCTGTCTACCATTGCCAGAGTTTTGCCAGGCGTAGAAACATTGGACCTCATCAGAGGTACTTTTCAGCGGTTCCAGTCTCTTTCTTACATTTCCAGCAGGTTCCATCGTAATTTTTATTGAACTTGGAAAGTTGTATTGGTGTTAGGTGCCATCTGCAAAATACCTTTTGCCAATTCTCTATTACATTCATGGCCCTTGTGTGTCTTAGTTGTGTTTTCCAAACCTGTTCCCAGTCCTTGAATAATATGGAGTGTCATAGAATCATAGAATCATAGAATCATAGAATCAAAGAGTTGGAAGAGACCTCACAGGCCATCCAGTCCAACC